CCGTTGACATTCCCTTCCTCTTGAGCATCGCCATCCTCTTCTTCCTCCTCCCCTTCTTCCTCGCTCTCATAATCAACCTGGTAGGAAGTGTAGGCATTCAGTCAGGGTCTCCCATTACCTGGACTTTGCCTATGAACAAGCACCCCTACAAAGGCCACAATTGGCTGGGTCCACCAGACTCAGATGCCCCACATTTCTAGCTTCTCCACCCTGGCCTGGCTACTTTCTTACATATACCTTTTCTTTGAGACTGTCACTCTGCAGGCCTGGGATGTGCCCCCGAAGCAGAGCTCACTTACCACACGGCTTTCTTGGTTCACCCACGTACCTGAGCTCTCTCACCTGTGAACTCCCCCAACCTCTCTAAGCTTCCCTTCGTTCTTACAGAGACTATGACACTGGGGGATTGGTTTGGGGGAAAAGGAGAGAGAGACCACATTCTTACTGGAGAAACAGGAGGCGATCTGTTTTCTTGTCAGTCTTTTCTGGGTCCTTGAGTCTGCCTCACATCCGGGGTCACCAGATCCCAAGGGCAGCCCTGAGAATTCCTACCTTATAAACCCTATCTGCTTACTCAAGAGGTATTTGGGGTAGGTAGGTCTTATTTCAGATTTCTGGTGAGTTCCCGGCATGACACAGAGGAAGAGCCTGTGAGTGGAGGGGGAATCCCTCAAGTGTGGCCACAGCGCTGCTCTCAGCCAGCACCCCCTCACCTCCTCCTCTTGTTTCTTCTTGCGTTTGGTGTCAGAAGCATCAGCATCCCCCTCCTCAGCTTCAGCATCCACGATATTCCCCTCCTCTTCCTCACCCCCCTCCTCTTCGCTCTGTTTTGGGGTCAAGGAGAAAAATGCTTAGTTCTAACATCCTGTGCTCAGTGAATCCATCTTTTCATTCAACCACCTTTCTACTTACCAATTCAGCCATGGCCCATCTACCTACCCTTCCACTAACCACCCTCTATCTACCTACTATCCAACCCTGTCCATACACCCAGTCTCTACCCTGTCTAGCCCTTGACTGCAAGCCTCCTTCCCCTTAGCTTTCACGTTTTATATGTACTACTTGTAAAGACTTTCTTGTTTAAAATCTAAAAAACTCTTTTTCCTTTTAGGCAGCATACAAAGTAATGTGTTTCACTGTGGCATTCTCCTTAATCTGTACCAATGTACTCTGTCCTTACCTGCCCTTTGTCTTTCCCACTTACTTTTCCCTTTTCTCCCCTCAAACAGTCCCTCCTGCTTTCATGTCATATATAGCCCATTACTCCCTCTTGTTCATCCTTAGAGTTTTTAAAAAAGGAGCTGGGGACACAGCTTAGTGGTAGAGCACCTGCTTAGCATGCATAAGGCCTGGGTTCCATCTTCAAATAGCCCCCGCCCCCCAAAAAAAGCACCAGGGCTGTATACTGCTGTTAAGTGTGGACGAAGAAGGGTTACCTATCCTTTTTCCTCCTGACCTTGGTTCCTAGTTTCCTAGACTCCTTGTGGGTAAATTAAGACTAGACACAGTTAAAGACTGCACATATTCATCTTTACTTCAGTTAGTGAAATGGTGAAGCCACAAGACATAGAGGCCTAATGCTTTGGTCTAGACCAGCCCAACATCCGAGGTAAGGAGAAAAGCCCAGAGAGAAGTGACAGAGTCAGACAGGGCAATCCCAGAGTCCATGTGGCGTCAGAGCAGGCTTACTGCATCACATCAGCACAAGCCACTGCTCACGGCCCTATGTGATGCTGGTCCCTGGCTTCAGGAACCTACCACATGGCTATGTATCTTCCCTGCTTCTGGCTCTCCTGGCAGAGGTGGGACCATTACTCTTTTGCTGTCAATGGTTTCCTTCCCTATGTGTCCCTGAAGTTTTAACTTCTCTGCTTCAAAATACCTTGTTGGTTCCTGCCAGTGCCCTAGTGGCCTGGGAAGTCAAATGCAGGATGAATGAAACCAGAAGAAGAACCTTCAAAGCTTCAGTGCACAGCATTCTCAGGATAGATGAGAGCAGAGACATCCTGAGGTCTTGACCCAGGGCTGAGCAAACCATGCTGGTAGCCTCCCTGGCCTGAGCCATCACACCTGGGAATGAATGTGTCTTGCTGGCTCTCTGAGAATACCAGGCAAATGCAGAGGTAGTGGCAAGGTAGACTGGTACCAGGAAGAGGCCTGTCGAGTGCCGAGAGCTGTCACAAAGCCTCCCCTAGAGAAAACTGAGAGCTCTACATCCTCTCTGCCCCAGACAAATCCTGTGCAGCCTGTGAGGGTTCCCGACACTCACCCGACTCCTCCCTGACTCCTCAGCGTCATCCAGGTCCTTCTGTGTAGCTCTTCGAGTGTTTACACTCCTGAAAGCTGAGGCCTTACTAGTCTTCTTTTTGATGGCTTCCATCAGGTATTTAAAGAATCTGTGTGAAAAGAAAGTGACTGAGCCCTGTCAGGACCAGTGTATTCTGCCCTCCCTATGTTGAAGGGCAGGATGCTGAGGGATTTGCATGAGAGACAACTCACAGGACTAAGGACAGTTTCTCCTACTCACTTGTGCCCTCCCCCACCAATCCTGAATCTATCAGAAAGAATACTCAGTAACACACTCCAGAATGCCCTGTCTGGATGTACTCTTTCACTTCCAGACAGTATGATTCAGACTGTGACAGATAGCTTTCTGACTTTTTAACGCTTGTCTAGAAAACATGGGTTTTACTGTGTACGTTGCAATCTTGTTTTAACGATCAGAAATGACCCTATGTCTATCTGATATTTTTCCCAGCACCTGATAGAGCCTGTACTTGGTAAATGACAGTGATGGTACCACTGTGGTTGTCACTAATCTGGATGGCAAAACCAACTGTAGGAGAGGAGAACCCAGCCTGGGACTAGGACTTTCCCTTCTAGACATCTGCAGCATCTCAAGAAAGTAGGTCTGGGAGCTGAGAGATGGCTCAGCAGTTAAAAAGCACTGGTTGCTTTTGCAGAGGACCTAGGTTTGGTTTCCAGCACCCACATGGCAGCTAACAACGTCTGTAACTCCGGTTCCAGGTTTCTGATGCACTCCTCTGGCCTCCAAGGGCATTGTATGCACAGGTGCCTTATATACATGAAGACAAAAATACTCATACACACACACACACACAATTTTTTAAAAGAAAATTAAAAAAATTGTAGGTCTTCTTGGGTCAAAGGACTCCCCAACCCCCATATGACAGCTCTAACAACTGAATTAAAGAATGAAGAGAATCACATCAACAGCTTTCCAGAACCAATCGATTTGAAAGAACGTAACCAACACTTAGACCGTGTATGTAGGTGGGCTTTCCTGGCCCCTTGCCCCTTCCTCTTTGTCCCCCTTTAAGGGTCTCTTGGGGCTTCACCCTGTCCCCCTTTCACTACTGCTTTTCTGATAACCTCTCACTCCTCTTCCTTCAGGCACTAGGAACATTCCAAACTGGACTACTTGTGATGCTAGAAAGTATCGGGTCTCATCCGCCACTGCATTTATCCAAGAATGTCACTCTTCCTTTTTTTAAAAAAAAAAAAAAAAAAAAAAAAATTTAAAAAAAAAAAAAAAAAAAAAAAAACTTTTAAAAGAGACCCACAGTTTTGCTGAGACCCACTAATCCAGTGACAAGCTTGCTAACCAGGTGCTGAAGGTGAGGGCAGGAGAGTCAGAAGAGAGGAGGCAGAGCATGACTTTTAAAAGATAAAGTCTAGGGCTGGAAAGGTGATTCCGTGGTTAAGAGTACTTGTTGCCCTTGTAGAGAACCTGGATTAAGTTTCCTGCACCCACACGGTACATATACTTGCCGGCGAAAAAAAAAATTTTTTTTTTTTTTTTGGTCTTTTTGAGACAGGGTTTCCTTGTAGCCCCAGCTGTCCTGGAACTCACTATGTAGACCAGGCTGGCCTTGAAATCACAGAGATCCACCTGCCTCTGCCTCCCAAGTGCTGGGATTAAAGGCGTGCGCCACCACACCCAGCACAATTTTTTTTTTTTAAAAAGACAGATACAATCTAAGTGGGAAGAAAGGGCAATAAAGAGGATGTTGCAGAAAGGACCAGCTCAAGTTCATGTCCCTACAGTGCTAGCCTGGAGGTACAGGAGAGCCTTGAGTCCACCTGTTACAAGGGATTGCTTGCACCTAGCCCATAGTAGAAGAAACAGAGTATGACAGAGCAGGGTGTTTCCCTCTGCTAGGATCACAACTCATTAGATGCCCCTGGCCTATCTCGATCTAGACACCCCAGCTCTGAGGCTCCTCACTTGCCATTCACAACTGGTCACCTGGTCACACTTGCAGGTATTCTTTGAGCATCTGCTCTGTCAACAACTTCTCCAATCTGTTTCTAGCATCCTTCAAGGCTAGTTGAGGTGCAGCTATAATTCCTCCAAGAAACCTTCCTCGTCCCCTAGCTAGGCTTCCTTTCTACCTTTCATGCTTCTTTTGGCATCCAGAACATTGAGAACATGGGAGATGGAGAGAATGAATACCTGGCTGATAAGTAGGAGACAGTAGTGTGCCAGCGTTTTCCCAGAGGCACCACCAACTTACTCTGATGCCAAGAACGAGGAGAGTGGTGGCCCCTGGTGAATGCTTTGTGAAGGCCGTAATACTTTTCAGTGTGGCAAATGAAAGGGTACAAGGATGGGTAGGAGGCAGAGGAACCTTCTTCTCACACAATTAATTATAAACTGGGAAAATGATCATTAACTGGCTACATCTCTACCACCTGCTTCTTGAAGAATCAGCTTCACAGTTGTTTTAACTGCAGAAGGAGCCACTGGGTCAAGTTCCTGACCAGGACCAGAGGCCAGAAGCTACAGCCTCTGACTCCTAGCTGGGTGCTCTTACCACTTACCCCCCTGCCCACCTTCCAGGCAAGCCATGCAAATTCCAAGTGATGGGTGCCAGCAGAGATATCAGAGACTGTCCATGTGTATACACCTCCATCCAGGGAAAAACTTCAGTCTCTGTTCTTTTTCTCTCTAATATATGCTTTAAAAAAAAAAAAAAAAAAGCCTCATGATTCTAAAGCTGGGAGAGTAGAAAGAACAGGAAGGGGAGAAGAGAAAAAGGGTGGCAGAGGCAAGAGTGGAAAAGGCAGCAGCTTCCAGCAGAGGCTGGCTGTTACAAAAGCACTCACGCTCCCCTTCTACTTCCTGTGGACCCTGAGACCTGACTGTGGTTGAGCCACTCAATGCCTGGGCTGACAAAGGGACTCTAAACCATACCCAGTTCACAGGCGGCTCCTACTTTTATAAAACTTTGCTTGAAACCTCAGAGCTCTGCTATGAAGTTGGCTAGGGCTATCTCTGCACATAGCCTTATTTGGGGCTGTTTTTCAAGTGTACAAGCAAAATCTAAGAGTTGAAAAAGCACTTCATTGTTGGGAATAAGCCAGTGTTGTCACTTACCAGGAAGAAATTTTAAAAAGGGATTTACTATTTTCACTTCCATGAGGTCCAGGCAGGACTCTAGGCTCAGTCTGGCACATGTCTCATGGCAACCAACATACTCAGCAGCTGAAGCCTTAGGTGAAATGAGGCTGGCTACTGACTCCACCTCCTCACCACCACCCTCAAGAGATCCTGAGAGCCTAATTCCCACTTCTCAGAAGAGGGCTTCCAGGCCAGTACCAACACTTGCTGCAGGGAGGAGCCCTTCTCCTCTCTTAATTAACAAGCTGGCAGGCTAGAGCCTGCACTGTGTTCCTGTCAGTTTGCCCAATGCCCCAGAATGCATCAAGGACTGCCTGATAGAACACACACAGGCAGGCACCAAGGCAGGTACCCAGGTAGCAACAACTTCACTCAGAACTCATGTTACACGGGGCAGGATTGGACAGTCAGTGAACTATCTGAAGGGCTTGGTTTGGATCCAAGCTCAGCTATCCTGACATTCACCATCCTAAAGGTCACACTCACTTTGAGGGTCAGCTTATAGATGTCTTAGAGGAGGGAAGTAGAGGTCTCTCTTCCCTTCCTTCAAAGTAGCCCCTCTCTTATGGAGGCACTTGCCTCGGTAAGTGACTTTGGACCAACTCAGAATAGAAGTGGGATGGCTGAGGGTAGGAGAGCTTTCTTCTCTGCCCTGCCACTGGTTCTCCACTGTGCACGTGTATCTGTGCGTGTCTGTGCGTATCTGTGTGTCATGGTGAACATGTGTCATGGCGATCAGAGGACGGACAACTTGTGAGAGTTGATTCTCCGCTTCCACTGTATGCGTCCTGGAGATTGAACTGAGACCTCCAGGCTTGGTGGTAAGTGCCTTTACCCACAGAGCCATCTTATTGGTCCGATCTTCAATATCTTAGCAGGGAGATTTGGGAGCTTGTGTACATTATAGGGAGTGGCCATTGGCCAAATCCTGTCAATGATGGGATCTCTTTTTTTTTTTCTTTTTAAAAATGATTTTTATTCATTCTTTGAAAATTTTGTGTATGTATATGATGTATCTTGATCATATCCAATCCCCTACTCCCTGCTACAACACTCCCCAAGATCCCTCCTCACATCTCCCTCCCTCATTCTTTCTAATGAATTGACCATTACATTTCCAAATTTCTGAAATGGCCAACAGGTCACAGAAAGACATTTCTTTAGGTACCTGCTTGAAACCATCAGCTTCAGCAAACTGTTGGACTTGATTCGGGGCCAGAGGGATCTCTTTCTGTATACTGGGCTTTTAAAGATATATGAATTAGTTGCTAGTACAAAAGTTAGGACACTTACTTTTTCTCTCGCTCTCTTTTCTGTCCCCCAAAGCAAAAGCATGCAACCAGATAACAAAAGAAAAGAAAAACAAAACAGAAGGGAAGCTTTTCTTATTTTTAGTCAGAAGATACAGCCACTCTGGCCTACAGTCTGCACATGACAGCAGACTTCTTGAAAATAGGTTTCAAACTCTGTCTGTGGCCTCCCAACCTGCTTTACCAGCCTTTACCCCTGCAACCTTGGGAGTTTACATATCACCATGAGGGTCAGGGGCAAATCAAGTGCTTTGGTGGCTCTTCCCTGCTTGCCCTTGTCCTGAAGAGCACATCCTTCTGACCCAGTGCATTTAATATCACAGTCTACTATTCCAATGACCAGCAGTAACTTAAGAGAAAAAGGAAGCTCACTATCCTTATCAGATAGGAACCAGAATTTTGTTGTTTTAATTTTATTTATTATTTTTACCGTATTTTATGTGTATCAGTGCATGTAAGTGCACCTGTGTTGTACAATGCCCGCAGAGGTCAGAAAAGGGCATTGGATCCCCTGGAACTAGTTATGAATGGTTGTTAGCCACCATATGGGTGCTGGGAACTGAACCGGGATCCTCTGCAAGAGCAGACATCGCTCTTAACCACAGAGCTATCTCTCCAGCCCTAGGAACCAGAATTTCTAAGCTGAGTAACTGTAGTCACAGAAGCGATTTGAAAGCAGAATGAGACTGCTTCCTATCAGCGGACTAGAAACATGAAGAACCACATGCTGCCTGTAATTGCATGCCACCCAACATGTGCTGATCTAGTACTAAAGCACTGATGTGATGGGGTTCCCTTTGCTTCCTGTGCACATACTTCCACATCTTTACCCCATAAGCTCCAGATGATAACAATCTTGATCCACTCACCCAAGAGACAGGAAACAGGATGGGGGAGTGGTGTGTGGCTTACAAGGTCACACAGGCCAAACTGGAATGTGGGCTCCATATTAGGTGCAGGGTCTACTGTTTCCTAGAACAATTCCCTTGAAGGGTCATCAGGCAACTGTATCTCATCTCCTGCAGCCTTGCCAGGAGTGTTTCATGGGTCAAGGTCAAAGACAAACATGCCCTGAGTCCTGACCTTGTTTCCATGAAGTGCAGGATGTCCTCAGGTTTCAGGCACTTTTCCTGATGGTAATAAGCATGTGGCAGGAACTGAAAGCGGAGCTCGTACACTCGGAATTTGTTCTGTTTTTCTCCCATACAGAAAGACTCCTGGATGTCAACCTTCTGCAGTACCTAGAACCAGATGGACACAGACTCTGACCTGTTCAGGTCCCAGGTAACTGTGTACTGCAAATGAGTTACAAGATACCAAAAGTTTGAGGCAGCTGGGACCATAGCCCCAAACTTTAAAGAAACCCTGGTGAGCTCTGCCTGCCTGAATTCTCAGAGAGTGTGTCCTGAAAGCCGCTTCCAGAGACTGGCGGGAGCCTGCAAGGAGTGGGCTCCTACAGTGTGGTAAACTAACTCAGGAAGCACTCTTACTGCATTTTTTTCAGGCATATGCTGTGGAACTAACAATTATCTTAAAAGCTTCCTGATCTAACCCTGCTCAGCACCGGCAGGGACAAGCCTTTCTCTTCCTGGTGGAAATCTGAGCCAAGAGGCTAAGCTGCCAGGAGACTGCTCTTCAGGGACAGGAGGATGGCAGGATCAGGCCTCCCCCAGCATGCAATCTTGGTATGAGACAATTACCTCTCCTAGGCACACCCTGGTGAGCTGCTTCTTTAGGTTCTTCACTCTCTTCAGTGCTTTCTTGGTGTTAAATACAGGCACACTCATCATGGGGGTCTTAATGTTGGCACTGGCCACCATGAGAATCTCCCTCAGTCTGTCACAGAATAAGGGTGTATCTGATCAGATGAGATATCCACATGTCCTATTCACCTGAAACCTCTTCTAAAGATGGCAGAGTTCATCTGAGACATTAGAGGCCTTGTGATAGTACAGGGGTATATGTTGGCTCAGAGTCTCAGCTCTGGTCGTACCCCCTGGAGTACTGGCTCCTCATGGAACAGCTGTGTCTAAGTCCTGCTTCCTTTCATCCGTGTCCTGTATTCTTACTGGCACTTACTGGGAGCATATCAAAATGGATGAGAAATTGAGGAAAGACTAAACTAGAACCTGTAGCACTCCTACTGAGCCCTGGCCAGGAGCTTGGCCAACCCTCCAGTCCAGTCCAGTGAGCACAGACTTCTGTAATTCATGGGAGAGTACCCTCAGGTTGGAAAACTGAGGAAGCTATCCAGAGTCAGTCTTGACAGTAAATGGCATGACTACAGACTGAATGCCATGGGTGTGGACCCAGAACTTCATCTTTCCCAGTGATCATCATAGTGAGATGTACATCCGTGTACCTAAAGGGCCAAAGCCAGAGGAATGGCACTCCTGGGGATTGGGCAACCAGGTGGTCCAATGTGGGAGTGCTGATAATGTTCTTGTGTGTGGTCTTACAAACAACCCTGGTAACCTGATGAAGAAGTTGGCAGAGATAAACAGATCCTAAAAGATTCAGCCACAGAAACTACTCAGGCTCTGAATAGGCTTCAGAATTTCTAAGCAGGATCCAAACTTAGACAAGCCTCTCTCTTACCCAGTTGCTCCTTTCCTGTCCCTTTCATGAATGACTCCTCCCCCAAGAGAATACACAAGACTTCACAGCCTGCATGTGTGCAGCCTTATGGTCCTGTACCTCGGAATGCCCAGGGTGACATTCATCTCGCCTCTGCCTGCAAAATGGAAGGTGTTCAGTGTCATCTGTGTGGAGGGCTCCCCGATGCTCTGGGCGGCCAGCAGCCCAACAGCCTCTCCTGGGTCACACAGTGAACGCTGCCACTTCAGCTGCAGCAAGGTCCTCAGCCTAGAGAAGTGGGCAGAACGGGTCAGAGCAGGTACTAGACTATGAACACCATCCAATATCAGAAACATATTCAGCTCGCTTCTTGCTTGGTTTTTGCCCCTGTGACTACAGGCCTTGAGCAGTAGTAATTTTGAGGATCATTATACACATTTTCCTTTATTCCTATCCTACCCCTAACCACCCCCTAGTAACGGAAGTTTAGGGAGGGCTAACCTCCTGCTGCACAAACTGGACACAAATTCAGGTTTACCTAGCAGTTGGGGTTGGGGCTGCTGCACAATTCTGTAATGCACTAACCATCCTTCCCAGACAACCTTTAGCAACAATCACTTCCCTTTAGCAACAATCACTTCCCTTTAGCAACAATCACTAGGAGCACTGTATGACAAGGAAGGGGCTCAACAAATAGGGATGTGTGTGAATGACTGCATAGGGTCATAGAACTTCGTTTCCATACAAATACCACTAGGTACTTCTGAAGGCAACGAGCCCTTCTGAGCTATGGAGATGCAGGTGGAGGCTGCTGTCGTTGGTTAGGTAGGGCCTGACAGGCAGTCACCTCCACACATATCATGCCACACAGCAATGTCCTCACCTGTCAAGAGAAAGCTCAGATTTCTGGTGCCTCTTCTCTGTTTGAGATGCCCACTCCTGACTGTAGTCATCCATTTTCTTCTCAAACGTTTCTGACACAGATGCAAAGTAGATGTCTGGGCGCCACACAGACAGACTGGGGTCGGGACATGGGGCTGCCTTCTTCTGGTATTTCCGTTGGCTCTGCTCATCTAATTCATACCACATCTGCAACATCTGAACAGAGGGCAGGACAGGTCTCAGCTAGATGTGAAGCTATCAGAATGGGCTTCTCGAACTTCAGGGACACCCAGTGGCATGAGAAGGCTCAAAGGCACCGGCTTTGGATTAGAGTAGGAACAAATATAAGATAGAAACCTGAACACTCAAAATGGGGAACAGCATGCCGTTAACCAGGGCATTGTTGGCAATTCATCCTGGCCCGTCCTAAGCACAGTAGGGTATGATCTCATTATTTACTACCCAACTAGGATCCTTCTGGAATCAAATGAGCAGTGTTCATGATTATAAGATGACAAGAGGTGAAGCCAGAACTGTCCCAGGCAACCGGGACACTAAGAGTGAGGTGACTGCCAGATGCCCATTAGCCACTCCCCTACCCGCCCCACCCCCCCAACTTGGCTGACCCTCTCTAATGGGTCTCCACCCAGACTTCTGCTCAGAGCTGCCCTCTCTACTTCTAGTAATTGCTCTCTTTGATCCTTCATGCCTGGACCCAGTCACCAGCCCCAGTAATTCCATTACGCCTTATTCATATCTTTTTATGCCCACATGAGTGTCACTGGTATCACACTCACTATTAGGGAATAACTCCTCATCTTTCATCCCTAACTGAGGCCTGGGCATACTAGCACCATGGACACAGCCCCCTCCCCATGTCACCTGCTGGGCCTCTGGGCTGCGGCCATTCTGGTTCTTCTTGCCTTTCAGGTTCAAGGCTTTCACAGCTGCCTGAATCTTCTGGGAAAAGCTCAGGAAGGCACCTTGTCTCATTAGGACACTGGAATGCTTGTTGTGCCATTTTTTGATGGCTCTGAAGTGGTGAAGAGCTTTCTGGGGCTCTGCTCTGGATAAAACTTCATGAAGATGCTTTGATTTCATTATCACCTAAAGAAACAAAACACACAGGCAACATGAGAGATGAGAACATGAGAGGGGGGGCCACACTGCAAAAATTCAAGGGAATCAGGTGTCTATGAAGATCCCCCAGGATACCTCTTGCAGGGGGATGTGCATGTGGTCTTAGGAGCCAAGGAGTTCAAGAGAGAGATCAACTCATTTCGAACAGCCCCTCAGGAAGAGGGGGACGATTCTGGGAAGGAAGGGAGGAAGACGGGATGATGGCCAGAAGTACTGGGAAATGTGCAAGGATGGAAAGGGTCCAGTCAAGGATCTGCCATCAGATTGAAGACCTTGGACAGGTCATGATGGTTTCAGCTTCCCAATCTGGAAAATGGGGTCCAGTTCACAGTAATGCATCACCTGGCCATAAAGTACTATAAAAATCACAAACCTATGTGTCAGGAGGGCCAGGGTTTACTCACCACGCCTATCAGCTGGTTGCTGTAGCTTCAGTACTTAGCTGCCTCAGCTTTAAACTGCCACCTCCCCAGAATGCGAGGAGGAACCCAGACAGTACTTGCTGTGTGCTTTGGTTCAGCCCAGCACATATAGCAGGCATCTCCAGAAGGCAGCTACTATGGCTGCTACCACCTCATGTGACAAAAGTCTATAGAGGGGTTCTGAAAATGTCAAATATTTCAGGACACTGGTAGGGGCTTTATAAACCCTTCCCACTTCTCTCAATGGCCACATGGATAGAGTGGCAGGGCTCAGAGTAGAAGGCCCACTTTGGGCCTCAGCCACCACCCTTTAAGCACAAGTGTCTGAAATTACCTCATAGTTACTGGCCAGGAAGGGGAACTGCTTAGGCTGCAGGAATTGTGTCTTGGGGATGTCCAAGCCATCCTCTCCATACAGGAACTGCACCACACTGCCATCGCTGTCACGGACAGTCAGATCGTATTGGATGACCAGGCCCTCCAGGTGCTTGATGATGCACCTGTAAGGAGACTACTGGCTCAGTGCCTATGGGGCAAACACCCCCCAGAGCAGTTCTGATGGGGCTAGGGGAAGAAAGGGGGACTGATGTTCCAGACAAGTAAGACTCTAAGAGGGGCCCTGTCTAGTGCCCTAGGCTCTGGGTTCTAGCATCCCCCAGCCAAAGCTGCATTTCCTACTTGTTTTCCAGGAAGAGCCTATAGCTGCCACTACCAGACCTAGGTTCCCATCTAGCTCAGCTGTTAGGGCTGCTCCTTACCCCTTCAATCTTCTGCATCCCAGAACTCTAAAGGACCTGCAGCATCCTTAGAATCATAGGCAGCCAAAGAAAGGGCAAAGAGGCACGGAGTGTTAAACCCTGTCAGTGCAGAGATTGCCAAGGATAATAAAGAGCAGCATTAGGAACTAAATGTTGGCTGATATCCTTTATCTGGTGGCCTTCATCCTCAGTCCTTTCATGTCAGCTGGCTTCCTTACCCTCTTCTGCTTTTTGCCTGAGTCACTACTCAGTTTCTACTGTGGTTTCCCAAGACCCTGTTTTCTTTCCTCTAGAATTCCACAAGCTGTGAGGATAAAGCCACCAGTTTTCATGATGCCTAGCCCAAGGCCTGGCAGGTTGGTGCCATTCACTGATACCCTCTTGCTGTTTACCCTGATTTCAATCCAAGATCCAAGCCTGGATTCTTCTATGTCCAGACTTCTTTAATCATTTGTTTCCTAGTTTTTCTTGTATTTTCACATGTATTCTTGAATGATTTAGAGGAAATGGAGGTCTAACCCCTACAAGGGAACTGGCCATGTGATCTCATGGGAGGAGGGGACCTGGGCATGACTGCATTGACCCTGCAGAGAGGGCACTGCCAGCTGTATAGATGGGCCGGGGGGGGGAGGTTTCACCTCAATTTCATTCTTGCCCTCCAACTCTAATGCCCATGGGAGTCAAGAAGGAAGGGATTAGAACATGGTATGTAGGTTTAGAAAGTCTGAGCTCAGAAACAGAAGGACAAAGCTGGAATCAACAGGCATAGCTTTAAGAGGAAGAAATGGAGAAACTATGTTGTCACCTGCTCAACCAGAAGTCAGCAGAGTTCCCTGAGGATATAACTACGGCACTCTGAGGGTTTCTACTTCCTGTCATTATTCCCACCAGCATAAGTTCTTTGGGCTTAGAAAGTACCTTACAAAAAGACCCCAGAGCTAAGCTTCCTACATTGCACCCCAAGGGAGGGAAACTAGAACACAGAGATCTGCTGCTGTCTGAATGAACTCCCTGGAGTCAGGCCTTGTTCAGGTTTAAGCTCTGATTCTTCCATCCACCCAACGAGGGCAGGTATAGTTGTTGTTCCCTTTCCAGAGAGGAAAGCAGGTCTTGGCTGGGGACCACCAAGGGGACATCTGTGCCTAGCAGGATACTAAGTCTATATTCATAAGCAGGAACCCTAGAGTTTACTGCTCTGGGTTGTTGAGCTTCTCAGACAATGGACAAATTTACTACTGCCAACCAGGCATATCCAACCTTTTGACATTGTTAAATGATGTTGACATCTACAAAGTTCATGCCTGAGAACCATGCAATCGAGTTATTAAAACAAAACAAAAAGCAACTCATGTTTTGAGTTGGGCTGCTTTTATAGCTATTCTGGAGCACATGCAGGACACAGGTTGGGCACACCTGGAAGACTTCCCCATTCCACAGTTCCCCATACAGCATGGCAGACCTGCAGAACACAGATCTGCTATGTAAACGTCTCAGTGTATGCTCTACCACTTAAGTAGAAATATCTGAGTATTTTCTGTCTCAGACCACCCACAGAGATGTTTGAAAATAAATTTTATCATCTGAAGACTCTTCAGTGAGAAATGACAGGTGCAGAGCCCTGAGACATAAACCCTCCTTAACAGAGGTCTACAGTTGCTTTTACCTTTGGAGATATCCAGAACGGCTGGTTTTGACAGCAGTGTCCACCAGGCCTTCTCGCCCTGCCATGCAGTGGAAGAAGAACTCCTACAGGAGAGTGGGACCCAGGTCCCAAAGGTAGCAGTGAGTAGCATGCGTTTCCTGGAGGGCTGCTCAGCGGCCATCCCAGCACCCTTTCCTGACTATATAGCCCTAGACCCATATGGCCCTAGACTCAAGGCTTTCACAGCCCCAATGGCTCTCAGAGACTTCTGTAGTCTCCTGGGATCTCTTTTCCCCTGCCAGAGGTAGAGGGACAAATGGATCAAAAGCTACAGTCCATCTACAGGAGCCAGAAGCTTTCCATGCACTCATTCATGCCATGCTCAGGACACCCCATATTCCATTTCCAAAGACAAGCAGCAGCACTGGTTGTTCTACCACAGCCCCTTTCAACTCCATGTCTACATTCTGCTTTCAACAGGGTGAACAGAATTGCATAGTGTTTCCCAAATTTCCTCTTTGTTTAATATAAAGTCTTAGTATGTAGTCCAGGCTGGCCTTGAACTTGTGATTCTCCATGCCTAGCCTTTCCAAGCTTTTTGAATGCCAATTACAGTAAGAAAGAATACATTTACAATAGTAATTAGCAAACACATACAGAGAATCATATAAAGATATAAAATTCAAGCTAATATTTATGATATTATCCTATCTCTTCTTAGGTGAGACCCACTGATATTTTCTTTACCGGTCTGTTTCACTACATAAAGGAATGCTGGATACTATCCATTACAATGATTTCTTGATCCACGAAGTGGCTGCAGTTAGAATTTTAAAAAACACTAGTCTATATCAACCCACCACCATCCCTTGCTCAGAGGCCACAGATGATCTTGGGGGCCCATGGAGAGGCCTGTGAGCAGTCAGTAGTCTTGGAATAGTTCACTCTAGATTTGGCATCCTTTCAGACATCAAGGAATCAAAGCCACTAACATCCAAAAAACCAGTTCTGATGAGCATGAGTAGAAGCGATTCCCTTAGGTCAGAATTTTGTTTTTGGTAAAGCAAAACCAGACATCTGCTACAGCTAGTCAATTTTCCTAGTGTGATGGAATCAGGGAGGGAACGGGAGGTGGGGGATTTCAAAAACTAAATCTCCATAATGTTCCTTTTGACAACATGAGCACCTTGGTGGGTGATGCTATCTTTTCCACCTGCTTCAGAAGCAGCTAAGAACTGGTTTAGAGGACACACAGGAGAAAAAGGTGAAGGCCAAGATCAATCTTATCTTTTCCTTTTCTTTTGAGACAAGGTCTTGTTATGTAGCTCTGGCTGGACTCCAACTCATGGCAATTCTCCTGCTTCAGGCTCCAAGTACTAAGATTACAGGCATGAGTCACCATATCTGGCTTATCATTTCACTTTACCAGCAAACATTGACCAAGTGCCTTCTATGTGCTAGCACTGTGCTAGCTCTGGTATTGCAATGGGGGCCATCACATGGTCATGCTTTCTTGAGCTCTCTGACCTAATGGGTATGGAGCACGTGCCGTTCACATTTATCCCTTGATTGTTGTAAGTCATCAATGAGGTCACAGTCACCTAACAATGGGCCTGGAAATAAGGTGAAGAGCTAAAAAACACACATACAGGGGTTCAGCAGTTAAGAGTACTGGCTGCTCTTGTAGAGGGCCCAGGTTCCGTTCCCAGCAACTACATGGTGGCTAAGAACAGATGGTGCATAACTCCAATTCCAGGGGATCCAATGCCCTCTTCTGGCCTCTGAGGTTTGCACACGTGGTGCACTTACATAGATGCAGGGATAACATACACATAAATAAGTGAACTCCCCCCAAACAACAACAACAACAACAACAACAACAACACATACCGGAGGTCTAATGCCAGTGAGGAACCTTCCAGTGACGAAGCCGCCAGCCCCGGGGGTAAATTCATAAGGCTCAAAGCAGGGTAGTGACTTGCCGGTCGCCATCAGTGGGGGTCTCCGACCTTCCAACTCAATCTGGCCTAGCAGGCAAGAGATCTAGGGGAAAGGAAAGCCTAATGAAAGAAAATCAAGATTCCTATGTGTGCTAAGCAATGCTTTGTCCAAGTAGAAGTAGCTGTTCATCAAGAAAAGTATGTGGAAATGGAGTTCTAGAGCATTTAAACAAGCAAGGAAAGCTATGTTTCAAAAAAAAAAGGGCTCTGGATTTTCACACTGGGGGACAGCTGAAAAGAAAGTAATTTACTGTGACGCTAACACCCTAAAGCCAGGAGAAACCTGGGCCACTCAGCTCTATGCTTAGGAAACTGCATGTGAATACTGCTGAGGAGAAAAGAGCAATGTGTTTAAGTCAGAGGGCTTCCAGAGGGCATGCAGCCTTGAGCCCACTCTGCATCTTGGGACTCAATGAACAACGGGATATGCTTCTTTGAAGACCTTCAAAGTCATCAAGAGTGAAACAAACAAACAAAAAAACCCCCAGGTATTAAGAGTCATGAAAACACCTCCACAGCATGGTGGGAATGTGAGAAGATAATGGGACTCAAATTAAAAGCTAAGTCATCCTTAGAACAATGCTTACAATGCAACGTCAAATGAAAAAAAGCAGGCATACAGCATTGTTTGTGTGTGTGTGTGTGTGTGTGTGTGTGTGTGTGTGTGTGTAGGTGTAGGTGTATAGGTGTATGTGTACACACATAGGCTGGAGGTCAGTGTCAAATATCTTTCCTCAACTGCTCTTCACCTTTATTTTTGAAATAGGGTCTCTCCTGAAACTCATTAATGTAGCTAGGCTGAGCTGATGAGCCTCAGGGACATGGCCACCTCTGTTCTCCCAAGGCTGGGCTTATAGACATGTGTTGCTAAGTCAGGCTTTTACGTTGGTTCTGGGTATCTGAACTCAGGTCTTTGTACTTATGTGGCAGAGACTTTACCAACTCAGTCCAATATCAAAAGATTTAAGCGGAGATTTTACATAGACATACAGTATACATATATAACATGAATATATGCAACACAACGATACCTACTATCATAATATGTATCTCTACCTGATACATGCCCTACCTGCACATTTTATCAATATCTGTCTACAGCACTGATTAGCACCTGCATTGATCTCTCGATGTATTGGTATTTTTCAGACCTATTTTACATGGAATACAGATGCTTTTAAAATTAAAAATAAACTTGAAAACTGCTGAATGAGCCCATCCTTTAGCAAACTGACTAAGCTACTTTTGCTCATACTTGCATTGTGTTCACAGTGGATCCTTTGGCTCCTGACTGCACCATCATCTGCAGGTTGTTCTCAGGGAACTGTCTGTGCAGGCCAAAAGGCATGCATACCTGTGGGCAGAAATCAGTACACTGGTCAGTGACTTCACCTTGCTTGAAATTCACATTCAAGAGGCAAATCCGTGATGTAGAAGCAACAGATCTAGAGTACTTATCCAGAACTAAGGGCCAAATCCCACTTAAGGTAACATCCTTTCACTAAAACCCCTAGACAAGTGCCCTGTCCTCTGTGCTACATTCACAGGAGCCCCAGGTTCCAGTGACTGGCCAAATGGTAGCAAAAACAGAAACATAAAAGTTTGAGAAACAAGGGGACTGGCAAATCCAGTTTGTGTTTCTGATAAAAAGCTAGATAAGAACAAAATTTAAGGTAAATTATCCCAGGAGTGCCTGGCCTGGAGCCTTAAAAAGCCAGTACATTACTAATGTCCACATTTGCCAGCAAGCCATCAAGCACTGGATAGGGAGCCTTGCCTGGGCCCCAGGACCAGCAGACGTGAGCAGGCCCCACAGGAGATCCTAGAGAGCAATGAGAAGAGTTCTGAGTCTGTTTCAGCCTTCAGCCTTTGTCCAAACCCAAGCCATCACAAGAGGGGCACAGCAAGAAGAGAAGCCGTGGGACAAGAAGCTATTCTAAGATGCACTTTGTCAGCCCCGATGGGCAAACCTCCTGCTTTCCCAGATGGTGCTGAGACAGTTCCTCTGAACAAAACCTTTTACTGATGAGAACTATCTCCATGGCCACCAAATGAATGCTGGAAGCCAGGAAGAGGACCCATGGACAAATTCTGATGTTGCGTGGTATCCTTGCTCTGCCTTTCCTCAGGCTATACCTAAGGCCTGGGAGACCAAGTAAGAGCTAGGCTGGCTCTTCCTTCAAACCACAGGGCAGGGAGTCATAGTTCTGGGGCAGGAGCATGGAGAGAACCAAGCTGTGATCTCAGCTCAAGCAGATTCCCCTCTTCTTACAGCTGCTACAGGTCTGGTTCAGAGCTGTGCATGAGCTTAAACCCGCTCAGCAACCCTGTGAGGTACTGTTCCTCATATCTGCTTCCAGGTGAGGAAACCAACTCACAGCCCAGGCACATCGATTACCTGAGGTCACACAGCAAGGACAAAGCACAACACGAATGTGAGGCCAGGCCTTCATCCCTGGCTCTGCTGCACAAGCAGCAGGAGCTTCTGCCCCTTCATTCTGGTCATCTACCTGCAATGACTCCATAATCAAGAGTTCATTCTACAGTCCTCTTTAATGCATAACTCCAAAATGAACACATTTAAGAAGAAAGCCAGCACAAAGCATTCCCATTCAGCATTAATCCAAAGCATTTCCAGGCTCTAACTAGGTGTGAAAAAGAGACCTAGAACTCTTCAGAATGATGGATTCTACCTACCCCACTTCAAATCTCACCTACTCAGCTGTTAATCAAATTGCTCCAAAGGGCCTTGGGTGAGAATCAAATGTAACTTAAAAAAAAAAAAATCAGCATTCAAAAAGATGGGGATAAGTGCATGCACTGCCAGGCTAACCTTGTTAATTTCATTGCTGTAATGGTTTACTTCCTCCTTGAACTTCAGATCAATCATGTTAAAATCCCTCTGGTCTTTGCCCAGATGGGCATCCTGCCATTTCCCTTGGATCTCATCAGATCCTGCAGCTTCTGGCAGGTTCAGTGCAGCCCTGACAGCCTAGAATGAAGAAAGGAACTCATCAAGGCTGTAGCCAGAGGAGGGCGTGGCCCCTTGATAGCAGGCCACAGCCTTCCAGCCCTTCTTACCCGGGGCCCACACTTCGTAGATTCTTCAATGATGCGCTGTCTCTTCACATCTGCATTTGGCTTAACCAAAATGTCTTCAACACCTGTCATGTCAAACAGACAAGCTCAGCAGGACCCAGGTCCGATGTCTCATCAGACTACAAACTGGGTGACCCAGACTTGAGTGCAACAGACACAGGAAGCACTGGAACAATGGTATAAACAGTGTTACATGCCTAAACATTATAACCTCTATTTTACAAGTGATAAGACTATGGTTCAAAATTGAGGTACCTGTCCATGATTACACAGGCTTGAGTGTCAAATCTGTGCTTTTAGCCAGAAGCTATGCTGGTTGCACCTAATAAACCTATGTGGAATGAAAGGGCTAGCGGTGAAGAGGTTTTGGATAAAAAGCGGCACTGAAGAAAGAAGAGCGGTAGACAGTGAGTATCCAAGAGCCCAGTTGTGAGCACGCATATGTGCAGGCACACAGCCATGTCAAGACTGGGTCACGGGGACCATTCTCTGCAGCTTCCTGAGCTGTTCACCTTGAATAGTAATGTCTTTCCAACTCAAACAACCATGTTTTGCTTCTACCTGTGAATGCAACTGGCAGTACTATTCAAAAGCCAGGGTGAACATCTGGAATTCCTAACACAATGATATGGAAACCCAAGGCTTCCAAAGACCACATGTGAGCAGAATGAGGAAGAAACAATTCCTCTACAAGGAAGCTAAAACCACTAATGCAGGCCCTGCCATAATGTCACACTTCAGGCCACTCTTGCAATAATCACTGGAATGAGGTTAACCCCCACGGTTCTATTCCCAGTGTGGCCTTGCTAACTCTCTGAGCCCCGTGGCAACTGAATCATCACTGCACTTGGGCAACTCTTTTCTATGCCATGTGCTAAGCACAGCTGTAAGCACAGCTGTTGGTTAGGTCTGGTCTTCACTTGCACACTGAGTGTGGGAGCGTCTTCCATCGTAAAGGACAGGATGGAGAAAGGGATAGGATGGGAATGGGGATAGAAGGGGTGCTGTGGACGGAAAAGAAACACCAATGAAGGGCAGGTGAACAGCACTGACAGGACAAGGGGCTAAACATCGTTCAAGAGGAGGGTCCAGTTGTCATTCTGAAAGGTCAGCAGAGTCAGGGGTCAGGAGCCCGGTTCTTACCCAAGGTGAAGCCTCTGTAGAGCTGCAGGTAGGCGGTGAAGAGGCGGGCCAGGCAGGTAAGAACCCTGCCACTGGTTTCGCCCCCATAGATCTCATAGCAACAGTGGACCAAGCCATAGGCTGAGCTCCCATAGTGTGCCTTGTCCAGCACGCCACACAGCAGCTCCCCTTCCCTGATGATCACCTGTGCAGAGAAAGGCCACAAATGCCAGGCCTGTAGGAGACATCTCTTGGGAGAGTCACTCATACTTTGCAAGTATTAGAGAGGGAGGAAGGGAAGGAGGGTGTGAAAGGGGAAGGGAAGCAGGGAGGGAGGGAGGAAAAGAAAGAAAAAGAAAAAAAAAGAAAAAGAGAAACAAAGGAGCAGGATAGAGGAGGGAGTGTGAGAGGGAGAGAAGGCAGGCAGGCCCTGTTAAAAATATGTGGTGAGCTGAAGACTTAGGATACTTGCCCACAAAAGTACAGAGGCTTTGGGGCTGTCTCACAGCAGCAAAGCATCAAGGGGGTGACCACCCTGACCTGTCCAGTTCTGAAGATTATAGAGTTGGGATTTCAGGACCTCAGAGCACTTTAATTACCTCTAACCAATCAGAGATCTTGGGGGAAAACATGGACTCTACCTCTCCAAGCACTGTAGAACCAACACCAGCCTTTTTGGAAGCCTTCCCAAACCAGTAGGAGTTTTACACTGAGAGTCAAAAGGCAGAGATCAACCTTGACTACATCTAAGACAAAAGTGGATACCAACTTGGGCAAAACTTCTCATCTTCTGAGCATGGCACCAGTTTTTGAATCTGTTTTAAATCAATCTGCCTACACCCAGGACAGAGGTCTCCAAAGTTTTTAATGGGGCAGCTCTACCTGGGACTCGCACATTGAGTCTGGGTTAAAGTCAGGAACAGGCCGTGGAGTTTCCTTCACCCAGGCTTTCCCGCTGATTTTTGCCTTTCCAGATAAGTTCAGGGGAGCATAGTCCGCTGGGATTATGTTTATGAGCAGGGTCGACACAACCTAGAGAAACAGAGGAGGACAATGTAATGGAAGACAGAGGAGACAACTTCCCTTTTAGCACCGTCTGCTTCACAACGCCATTTCTCATGCTTTCAGGCATAGCAACAAACAGGTCCACCTCTGAAAGACAAGCCTATCTTAGTTTTTACTTAAAGGACTTAGGAATAGAAGCAAAGCACACCAATAAGAACTTCGCTGGGATTTTATTCCCTAAAATAGTTCAACCTAGGAGGCTGAAGAGATGGCTCAGCAGTTAAGAGCACTGGCTGCTCTTGCAGAGGACCCAGGTTTGAGTCCCAGCATCTACATGGCAGCTAACAACTTTCTGTAACTCCAGTTCCAGGGGATCTGACGCCCTCTTCCGGCCTCTGCATGGGCACTGCATGACACGGGTGTACTTACGTATCTGCAGGCAAAACACTCATATACATTAAAAAACAATTTTTTTTAAATGAGTTCATCCTAAAATGAACAATCATTTTCTAGACTTGAATTATTCCTGAACAGGCCAAAGGAAGGAGAAGGAAAGTGTAAATTGCTTTGAGGTCGAAATAAAGAAATAGCTGAGTATGTGGTAAAAGAACAAAAGCAAAGAGTTAGCAAGACTGAGAGTTGGTGAGGCTCAAACACTGCCATCTGCCAGAAGTGTAAAGTTTTTACTTACACACATTAACCATACGATCTACACAGGAAAAGAAAAGCAGCAGCTCCAGGTTAAGATCCTGTTATAGGGCTGGGGACATAGGTCATTGGTAGAGTGCACAGTAAGTAAGAAGGGTATCTCGGGTTCAATCCCCAACACCACCATAGGAAGGAGAGAGGGAGGGAGAACGAGAATGCTTGGTCATCCTCTGTTGACCTTCAAGTCACCTCAAAACAGATGTCAATTACTATCTATGTTCAGTAACTTCCTCCTTATAGGACAGGTTGGACTGCCAAGATGGCAGGGATAGAAAGACTAAGAACTTGGTACATTCCTGTAAAGAGCTTCACATAGGAGACCCAAGGTGTCCAACTGAGAAACAGGTTGCAGAGTGACAGCTCTGGGATGGGTTGCCCTGTGTCTACTCCATCACCTCTGGTTACCCACTGTGGGGCACATTCTGATCTTCTATAGTATTAGCATTGCCCATTCATTGGCATTCAGGCAAGATTCATTCATTTATTTAGCAATTATATACTGAGTGTTTACTATGAGCCAGCCCTGAGGAGAGAATAAAGCTCTGTCCTCCTTCGAGCCTGTCCTCCCAAGGGGCTCGCTGCTTTAGAAGAAAATGGAGCAAGGGAAGATGACTCGGAGTAGAGTAGAGGAGGGCACTGTGATTTCCAATCAGATGATGGGCAAGGTGAAGAAGAGAGCCACCAGAGACTGGATCATGTGTTTTAGGGAGAGGGACAGGAAAGGCACAGGGCTTAGCCTGAGGAGGAAGGAAAGTATCTGCTAGGTTTTGATCTCAGAGGTGACCTGTTCTGCCTTTGTCAATTTGAGCTACTATACCCAAATACCCCAAACGGCATAGTACATGAAAAACGGAAATTTATTTCTCATAGCTAGAGGAGCTGATACGGGAGGAGAATAGGAAATAAAACAAAGGCAGACTTGGTATGTGGGGAGGGTCACGTTTTCTGGTTCGTAAACAGAGTCTTAATGTGTCTTCACTTGGTAGAAAGAGTGAAGAGTGCTTAGAAGCCTCTTTTACAAAGGCACTAATCCCACCCATGAAGGCTTTGCTCCCTGGACATAAACATCTCCCAAAGGTCTCATTTCCCAATCCTGCCCTCCTTGGGGTTGGGTCATAACACAAAATATTCAGACAAAAATATACTCTAAGCTGGGTGCAGTGGCACACGCCTTTAGTCCCAGTACTTGGGGCTATAGGGAGACCCTGCCTCAAAACAACAACAACAAAAACAAACAAACAAACAAAAACAAACTCTGGTTTAACTCTGGACTATCTGTTGTAAATACACTCCAGGTCTACACCTTGAGACAAAATAAATGCCTTAAAGAATAGGTGTGACACTGATAAAAAGGGACTGATCTTTATAAGTGGTTATGAAAAATGATAGGAGTAGCCTATGTGCCAGTATCTACAGTGAGGCACATCAAGAGCATGCTATTTGGGTGACTGGTAGTAATTTGATGGCACACCACAATCAGCCTTTACAAAGCTAAATACCAGAAGTAAATTGATTTGACTAGAATTAATCTTAGTACTGAAAGGCCAGGATATCCTTCCTTTGTCCCAGCTGAATCAATCAGAAGGATTATGCACCCAGTAAGTGTTTTTTTGACAGAAGCCCACGGAGGCACTTTCTCAAGCAGGTGTTCTACAGAGAGAAGCAGCTGTCCTGGGGATAGCAACAGGTTGACTTTAGAAGACTTGCCAAGTACATTCACCCAGAAGGAGCAGGGTTGGGATCAAAAAGGCAGGTGTTACAGGCACCAGGGCTGTTGAGATGCTGGGAGATGTGATCTGGCATCAACAGTTCTCTGTGTGCCTATACCAGGCCTTTATATGAACAGAATGGGGGTGGGGCAGTTAGGAGAGCAGTTGTCTTTTCACACATGTGCACCAGAAGTGGCCACCCCAATCTTTAAAGAAAGCAGACAATGTTTTCTGAGTAGAGGATGGTCAGAAATATCATTCCACACCCCAGCTCTGTAGAAGGCTGGAATCTTGCCAGCGAGTGGGGAAGGGCATGAAGGCAGGAGAGGAGGCTTCCTCAGGCTGCTTGCCATAAGCTGCACCTTAACCAAAGCAACATATGGGTAGTGGGGCTGCCAGGCTGGGCACGGTCAAGACTGGAACTCAGTGTGAAAGGTAACAGAAAGACAAATCCAACTATCCAAGGACAGGGAAATACAGCCTGCTCATCTTCAAAATCAAGGGAACAGAAAAAACGCCTGACCAGCTCCAACACCTGTGTTGAGGATTAAAACAAGAACAAAAAACATAAACCACCACAGACTCAGGAATAGAAAAATGTGAATAACCTGATAAAGAGGAGGTACCTATGAAAACCCACCACTATATTAGACAATGAAAGTCTGCATGCTTTCCACCTAAAATCAGGAGCAAGGCAGGGATGTCTATTCTGTTAAACACTGTACTAAAGGTTCTTCCCGGGACAATCAGGCAAGAAAAGAAATAAAATGCATTCAGATTAGAAAGGAAGGAGCCAAACTATAAAGATGATATAATGGAATACAGAGAAAATTCTTACGAATTGTACAAGAGTTCTTAGAGCTAGAAAATGACTTCAACAAAATTGAAGGGTTTAGGATCAACCTACAAAATCAATTATGTCACATGTTAGCAATGAACAATCTGAAATTTAATATTAAAAAAATGCACTCATTAATAGCACCAAGAAAAACAAAATACTTCAGGAAAAATTTTAACCAAAGACAGGCCACTGAGACTGCTCAGCAGGTAAGGATGGTGGCTGCCAGGTGTAAGGATCTGAGTTCAATGGTGGGAGGAGAGAACCAACTCCTCTAAGTTCCTCTGACCTCCACACGCACACAGTGGCACACCCACAACCACACACGCACACACACAGATGTAAAAATAAATACATAAATAATAAAAACATTATAAAAGAAACCCTAAAGTGCAAAGCTTGTAAAGTACAGGCTAGAGAGATAGCTCAGCAGATAAGAGCACTTGGCTGCCCTTGCAGAGGACCTAGGTTTAGTTCCCAACACCCATATTGGGAGGCTCACAACTCTCCGTAACTCCAGTTCTAGGGGAGCCAAAGTACCTGGTACACACATGGTGCAATATAAACAGGAACATGCACATAAAACAGCTTACACAGTAAAACTACAGCACACAGCTGAAAGGAATGAAAGATTAGTCGATCCTGAAATTCACACAGAAACGCAAAGGATCTCAGTTAAAACCATCTCCAAACAGAAGAGCAGAGTTGGAAGAGTGACATGGTCAGATTTTAAACCTCACTACAAAGCTACAGAAATTAAGACAGCACAGTGCTGGTGTTTAGATATATTAAGACATACTTATAAATGGAATGCAAATGAGTCCAGAAATAAATCTCTGTAAACAATTGCTTTTAGATTGAGTACTGAGGATATTCAATGAAAAAAGAACAATACTGTCAACATCTGGGGCTGAGAAAAATGTACATACATGTCAAAGAATGAATTTAGAGCCCTACCTTACACCACAAACTTTAACTCAAAATGGACCCAAGACCTAATGGTATAGTTAAAACAGTAAAACTATTAGCTATGACAATAAAAGCCACAAGCAATAAAATAAAGTAGACAAATAGGACTTTAATTAAAAAATTTTGTATGTCAAAAGACAAGAAAGTGGAAAAACAATCCATAGAACTGGAAAAATATATACGACAGAATTCTAGTAACCAGCATACAACTCAATCAAAAGGCAAGAAACACAATAAATGGGCAAAAAACTTGAACACACACTTGCTTGAAAGAAATACTGGAACCTACCCACATGGCAAGTAGAAAGATAAATCAAGGCAATTTCTTTGAAAAACAGCTTGGAAGGTCCTCAAAAAAAATTAAACAGAGGGGCTGGAAAGATGGCTCAGCAATTAAGAGCACTGACTGATTGCTCTTGCAGAGGGCCCAGGTTTGATTCCCAGCACCCACATGAAGCTGACAACCACCTGTAACTCCAGTTCCAGGCAATCCAACACCTTCTTCTGAGCTCTAAGGTCACTGCATGACACAAGTGCACTTACATACATGCAGGTAATACACTAATACATATAATATAAAAATAATAAATGAAATATTTAAAAAATTAAACACAGAATTACAATATGATCCAGCAATTCTGACCTTAGTTACATGCAAAAGGACTGACAACACATGTTCACACACAAGAAGTTCACTGCAGTTTTACATGTAATATCCCCAAAGTGGAAATAACCCAAGTTATCCTTTTGTCAACTGAAAATGGTATGCCCACATAATGGAATATTCTTCGGCCATAAAAAGT